ATGTGCTGGGGTCAAGTTAATCAGGAATTCATAGGCAGACTATGGTTTCCTGTACAAGACATATGGCCTCCTAAAGAACAGGAAAAACTGAGTTTCCAGTCTCCCTTTAAGTATGCAGTATTATTAGAGAGAGCTGCATCCAAACTTTACTGTCTGAGAGAGCTTCCAACATGTTAGATGCCCCCTGGCCTCCAGGCCAGCCAGTCCCCTCCGCAGTCTTTTAGTAGTGCCCCATGCCCCTCTAAGTTCCCTGTACTGTGTTAACAAATCAAGCAGTTCCAGCATCTAGCCAGGTAAAAACACTTGCTCAGGGGGTCCACAACAGGCAATAACTCCATTAGAGCTTCACTGACGCACTGGCGAATAAAAAGATGTCATTAAACACTCAGGGCACCAGGCAGGGGTGTGCCATCTGCAACATTCTTCTGTTACCTCCGGACCGTATACAGAGGAAAGTCTGGATGACCATCACCCCCAGTGCCTTCCCCACCTCTCTCTCTCATGCTGCTCATTAGCCAGCCTTGGGCTGTTTCACACCTCATTGCTACCTCTATTTGCTGCAGTATTTGCTGATAAGCCCTCTTTAGTAAGTCAATGGGACCCATTCAGAACATTCTGTCTGCTTTCCAGGGCAACAGGGCAGATGGCAATGGACAATTAAAGACATTTATTTAAGCTTTTTTGGCGTTTCGGAAAATGGCTGTAAGCAAATACTTCTATTCTTTGAAGGAAATGTATATGTGGCTAGAAATAATTTCTTCTTCAGATGAGAAGCTTGTAACATGTTCATGTTTTTCAAGATGGTTTACTGGTCCCTGTTGATTTATTTTTGCAGACCTACAAACTACTCATAGTTCTCTGGGCTCTGAACAGCTGCCCCCACACCAGAGGAAACTAAATGCAATTTGTGTGTAAATGAAGTGTTAAACGTGCCTTAGAAATGTATTCCATTAGTACTTTATGTGTTATAAATTTTCTTTGGAAAGTGTTTTCTGGTGTTTTTTTAACGATTTTCAATTAATATTTGGATTTTCTGCCTTAAATTACAAAGCAGTGCATGTAGAACTATGAACCAGTCAAAGAGGGCTTTATTACTTATGTTTTTATATTAGTAATATTTATAATGTAACTGTGGTAGATTGCAGAAATGTGTGCTGACATTTGTAAACAGCATTTCTTTCTTTGCACAGTGACTGGTCCCTGAAGATTCCATATTCTTTTTTTACCTAACTTTTTAAATTGCTAGTTATTTTTTATTATTATATTTATCAATTTTAGAATCTCCAGTTGTGTGTTTTTCACGTCTGGACTCGTGACTACGACCTCTGACACTGCACGCTTGTAAGAATGAGGGGGCGCAGTCAGACTCCTCCACACAGCTCGCCGTTGAGTCCCCTGTCTTTACCACGTCACAGGCACCCAAAGGTCACTGCTGGTTGGAGGACAACTGCATCCCTCGCTGGCAGCGTCCGCTAACCTGTCCGTCGTTATGTTTGCCAAGAGCCGGGGGAGCCCAGACTCATTAATCCCACCCTATCCTGAACTGCGCACAGACCTCACGTATCTCTTGTCTGGGTGACGGTGACGTCAAGCTCTGTTGACATCAAATTCCCTGAAGCTAAATAGTGACAAAACAGAACTTTTACTGGGGGGCAGTTAATGCCTCCTGGAGAGCTTCACAGTTATCACGGACAGCTTATCCGTTCAGGCATCAGCCTTACTCTGGAAACTGGGAGTCGCACTTGGGCCTCTCCTGACTTTGGCTCCGCACGTGAAAAATTAGACTAATATTTTCACCTAAGCAATATTGCCTGCATTAGATCATTTCTATCAGTGTCCGATTGCTGAGGGCCCGATTCATGCATTTATACCATCGAGGCTTGATTTCTGCCACTGTTTACTCTATGGGCTCCCTAACACTCTTCTCAGTGAGCTCCAATAAGCCCAAAACTCTGCAGCTAGACCTCTAAGTCACACCAGATCTCGGCAGCATATCACTCCTACACTTAAATCTCTACATTGGTCGCCTTTAAAATGATGTATTAAATATGAGATCTTCTAACTTTGAAGGCTTTAAACAATCTGGCACCATCTTACATCTCTGAGCTCCTCCATGTTTACACTCCTGTAGGCTTTGGTCTGTTGAGGCTGGTCCTTTGCTCACTGTACTCAGGACTAAATCTCTCACTATTGGTGACCGTGCCTTTTCTGTTGCAGCTCCATCTATATCTATATCTATATCTATATCTATATCTATATCTATATCTATATCTATATCTATATCTATCTATATCTATATCTATATCTATATCTGATTGCACTACAGTCAGATTATTGTGTATGTTCTTGTTTTAATGTCTTGAAAGCCACTTTATAAATAAAAGGAAGAATAATGGATGGTTTAAATGCCTTCTTCTTCTTAGGTGAGCAGGATAGTTTATAAGGAAGAAGTAGAGGTTCATACATGCTGAAAAGAGAAGAAAAGAAAGACAACTTTTTGGCTCTGGACTCTATTATAGGTGTGAACTAATTGAACTACTTAAGGCCAGGATAGTTTATAGCTCAGGATAGTTTCCAACTTCTAATAAGCAAAAAAAAAAAAGAATTTGCTGTCCTTTCTTATGCAACCTCTTTCCCCTTCACATGTACAGTATTTCATCCTGCAGTTTGGTGACATTCCTCTCCTTGACACTCTTTTGTTGATTATTTTATTTAGTATATTTTATGCACAGTATAATACGCTTAATGAGAAATAATTTTACCATGCGTAATAAAACTGTAATTTTCCTATTATATAGGTGTGACTTTAAAATATGCTATATATAACGTCATAAAAATATTTAAATTATAGAATTACACACATAATATATCCTTCAATATAAAAGATATGTTTAAATATATAAGTGCTCTTGAAGGATAAAATAACTTGGCTACATCTGGCTGTGATGAAGGTCTGTAAAACGAGTCCTGTCTAGTATCAGTCACTCTAATAAAACATCTGGCAGAGGCGCACATACATCAAAACGTATTGAGAGCACAGGAAGACTGCATTTGGGGTTATTATCTGGATTTAGTCATATTTTAAAAGGCATGTGGTAGTGTCTGGAGTTTCACGTTTCAATTTATAATAAATACTTTAAAGCATGCGGACAATGCGTGCCACTACCTGTTCGAAACGGAGAAGAAATTCACGTCAAATACAACGTATACCACAGAGGTATGGTGCTTCATAATAGCAATGCTAGCACGATCGAAGGGAACGGGTTAAAAAACTTAATCCACAGATTAAGGTTCTTATCTAAATGTAAACCCCAGTTTAGGCTTTTTTTATCTGTACTTTAGACTTGGTCTGAATTTTCAAAGTGAAAATTTTACTTATACATAGGCCTGGTATCGCTAAGAGTCAATGTATTTTAAATTGAATTGAATTGTACGTGTGCATCATCTCATCTTGATGTACGACTGTTGCAGTCGACCTCTTGTAAACTGTGCAAAACAGCCTTGGACCGTTTAAAAATAATGAACTCGATGAGGCAAGTAATTAAACAGAGCCACTGACACAAACTATTACGGAGCCGTTTAGCGTGGTTAATAACTGAAAAAAGGTTTACCTCTGTTAATACAATTATTAAACATCGCCGGGTGGTATTATAATTATTAAACATCGTCAGGTGGTATAAATATAGCATACTTGATATGTTTATCTTTGTGGTTCATCAAAGATTAGGCACCCGAGATGCCTGACATGATTGTAAGATTCGAATAATACGAAATGAATGTGTTCATTCAACCTTGTTTCATATAATGCTAATTTTATCTGAGTAGCCTGGGTTACTGAACGGAACTGGCTTCCTGTAACGGTTTTTGTTTAATCAAGTTATCAAGTAAATTAAGTTTCGATCAACAAATTCGTTGAACCTGTCGCCCTCGGCCTCAGCTGTGTTGTTTGCAAAACCGACCGATGCTCAGCTGCTTTTTTAAGACGTTTCTGGTTTTAACACAAAAGTATGAATGGAGTTTTATTCTGTTCTATTATTCTGTTGTTGCGCCGAAGTAGTTTTTAGTGACAGAACATACCATATTCAGTGAGAAAGTACATACAATTTTTAGTAAGAATATATACAGTTCCTTACCCTCTGTATATTTAACACGGTGGCGTTGCCATCCCGTATTTGACCCTTATGTTGCTTTAACTACATTTTTAACTACATTCATACACATTTTTGAAAAGGGTGGAGCTTCAGCAATGCCAAATAGAACAACATTTTCAGAGAGATGTTGATAAAAAATGGTCAATCTTTTATAGAACGTCTTTTTATACAATACTTAAAATGCAGTCTAATTCCTTTGATGTCAAGATGCACGAGATTATGCTGTCTGTATCAGCATTACAGTACTGTATTTCACGAAGAGCAGTTTCATACAACCACATCCGATAAGTTAGTTTCTATAATATTTAAGATTATTAATGACATTTCAAACAAACTCCACGGTGGCGCAGTGGGTTAGCATAGCTGCATTTCCCCGCTGGGGCCCTGGGTTCATTTCCAGACGTGCGGTATTGTCTGTGTGGGGTTTGCGTATTTCCCCCGTGTTCATACATCTAGCTGGACATGTGATAAGAAGAAAAATCAAGAAGATAACTTCAATCTAAATTACAGAGGTCTGTGAGAACACAGGTAACAAAACTCACTATAATTAAGATGTAAACAACATTTGTGAGCCTACTTCTTCATATTATGGACGTGAGAAAAGTATTATAGAAACGAAAAACGTGGATACTTCGCAGTTCGTCGCTGAACGAATCACCATGCGCAGGGTTTGGGTCATATACTGAGTGTATATGCCGAATAGTTCGGCAGTATTGACATGTTGGTTTACTTTTCCGCTAAAAACTACATATCCCAGAATGCCAAGCAGAGGGGGTTGAGTCTCACTTGGGCATGGAGGTGTTGGAGGATGGCTCGGAGGCAGGTTAGCTCAGTCGATGTGATTATGTATTCTCCGTATGATGGTAGGGGGCAGGTTTCCATTAGTTCGGCTCTTGTTGTTTCTGGAGCGTTTGAACAGTAGGGGGGAGGTCGCAGACAATCTGCGATGTGAATGAGTTCGGAGGAGCGAACGAAATAAGGAGATACAGCGTATTTAGACACGGGGCTGAATCATCAAGCTTTTATGTATCAAAATTCATTTGACTTTCAGCCTGAGTAGCTCAGGAGCTGATAGGAGCCTATCTCAGACGCTGTCTTAAAAAGTTATCTGGAAGACGGTTATCTTTGTGGGAATCTGGCTTCTTTCAAACAATAAAGAAGTGGAGCGCAGTTTTTTTTTCTCCTTCACGTTATCACCACAAAAAAAGGTGCACGGCGTTTCATGAGCTTCTGCGAAGATTACTTTTCCCTCTCCAAACTTTGCGTATTTACCAGCTGATTTATAGGGGGGAAATACGATATTTTCTCCTGTTAACAGAAACTCGTAGTTTGGCTGTTCCGCGGCTTTGCTGTGATCTAATCTCAAGAAGTTTTTTTTTAACCTATGATCTGAGCTCTGATTTTCAGGAGAAGAAAGCTACTTGTCGATTCGTCTGGTTCTCCTTCCCCGGTATTTGCTAATTAACTTTGCGGAAGGCATTTGCTTTTTTTGGTACATACCAAGTCAGTTGTTTGGTACTGGATCTACAATAATGCAAACTTTCTAACGTCTTATAAGGATTCAGTTTCTTCTCCGTGAGAATCCCGGCGGCGCATCGTCTTGGAACTACTTGGCAAAAAAGGTAACAATTATTTTTGGAACTATAACTGAGTGAGAAAATATCTAATTCTAATTCTGATGTCAAGAATTTGTCAAAATCCGTAAGTTTTCATAATTTTATGAGCAATTTTTAAACACAAACTCAAAATACAAAGGATATTTCTGCCCCGGTCCAACATATGATTTTTATGTAATTCTGCAGTTTCACACGTTTTAAGAAATAGTGCGAATATAATGTGTTTCGTAAATATTCCCGTAAGATGCACGGAATTTTTTGAGTCTCAGTGGTTTTCGTATGCTTTGTAGCCTGAAGCTAATATTCTTGGAAAAAAAAAAAGTTCTTGTGTTTTGGCTAATGTCCATCAATGCCAGATGTAGAACGCGTAATGAAACAGAACGTGCACTGCTTATTTAAGTGGTATAAATGGTTTTAGAAAGAAATTCTGGACTCCACAGTACCTATTTAGTTAAACCCGTAAAAGAAATGCAGTCATGACATCCAGCCTAAGAATTAATCTTGGTTAACACAGGAAAAGTGTTAGCGGGTGACCGGACTGTTGGTATTCCCTGAGGTGAGAGATACTTAACACGTTAAATTCGAAAAACGAATGCCCGTCAATAGCCTTGTTTAAAGTAAATGCAATTTAAAAACCAAACGCTGTTACGTTCTAGTGATATATCGCGATTTGTTGGTACGGAAGACAAAATATTGGGAATTGGAACTCATTTGGTTCAAAACGAGTGTCGACTAAGCGCGTTTGGACAACCCGTTTAATTTTTATTGCGAGCAGGGGGTTCATTGTGCCGTGTTTAACTTTCGTTGAAATGATCTGGCATATCGAGGTATCGCCGGCAACGAATGAGTTTTTTAAAGGCCAGTTTAACGGGAAAGTCTTTTTTTTGGGGGGAGGGAGGGGGATGCCTAAGACGTTTCAGAGCCAGAAAGAATCATGGAAAATAGCAGTCAGGTTTTTGGCTCGCGGGACGGTTAACTAAAGAAGGGATTGAATTGGAAACTTTTTTTTTTCCCCTAGCTTGATCTCAGAACTGCGTTTCTCTCGATATCCCCCGTGACGCTGAGTGAAGCGCCTGGCCTTTTGGCTTTTGTATCCATTTGTTCCAGGCGGATCACAGGCATTTCACACGTTGCCTTGTGGACCAGCGTGGTGTCAGTCGCTCGCCTGAGGAGTCCCAACACTTGTTGCGTTTGGTCACTTGAAGGCACAGGGCTCTAGCAGAAGTGGGGGGTGGGGGTTATGAAGGCAGTACTGGGCTAGTAAGTCATTTAATTTAATTTTTGTTAGTATGTTAATTCTAACAGCGCCTCAGCCCTCACGAATGACTATTACAGCGGGCCGTTTCCCTCCACATTTAACGAGTATTAGAAGATGGATTTTACAGAAGCGCGTCAGCACTGTAACGCTTCTACTGTTAAAACTGAAAACTATCGCCGGAGGGTCTGTTTACCTACTAATGTTTTATCTCTTAGCTTTTTTTTCTTTCTATAAGGATTAAACGAGGAGGAAATGTTGTAAAAAGGGCTTACTAACGTAACTCTAAGGGGGCAATGACCAAAACGTGCCCTGAAGAAAACAGTGAAAAGGCGCTTTGACCCGAGTGAGCTAAATATGAGTGACCAACGCCGACAGGGCCTGTATTACAAACAGATGACCAAAACACTCTTGATGTACCCTTGTTGTGTAAACACTGCATATCAATTTATGATATGTTGAAATCGCAAGCAAAGGCTGGTCCATTACACGGATTTCGATCCCTTTTAAGTGTAAGAGCAGTATCAAGGTGTAATTCTTAAGCGTTTACTGTTAAGATATTGAAATCTCTAAGACTGTCAATGATGACCTTATCTGTTTTGTTTTGTACGGTATTATAACAACGCGTCGTGAGTCTGACGTGACAAGTAGCGCGTCTTTTACCAGGTTTCTGGCGAACTTTCTGGTGGTTTTCAGTAGATTTCGTGGGGGAGGGGACGGGGGTTTGAAACTGAATGACGCACCGAAAAAGGGTCGAACCCAGGCATGGTAATGGGACACCTTTATTATTTTTAAAACTAGACGTTTACAGTGTTGATGATCTGAGCACGTATGTACCTGATACCTTACCAAAAGAGAGCCTATGTTATATTTTAACTTCAAGTCCTTTCCATTTGTGTTCATATGTCCATTGGAATCACTAACTGTATCAGTTTTCAAAATGTTTTCTACTACAGGGTCTTAGTGAGACACTGAGCATTCACACACAACTTAAGTTGAATAATCTGTTGTCATGCTCACAACCAATGATGTAAAGCTTTAAAGGAAACCTTCAAGAAAAGTTACCGCGAAGGGTTTTATAAAAGTCTTCACATGCAGTTTTTTCTCCGTTTCCTTTTTTAACTGAAGTCTTTTTGAAGAATAATCATTTCTGTGCATATCAGTTCCTTTTTACGGTACTGTTCTGTGCAGGAGAGATCTGCCTGGAAAAGTCCTTTGGCTTGGCGGGACTTAATGACCTGGACAGGTTTCTGAGGATTTTTTTACCATCATGTTTCTCAGTTTTCCAGTAAGCACAGGACAAGGACTTGTTTTAATGACAGTCGACATAGGTTTTAGGTTGAGATAGAGGCATTTTAACAACTGTACTGCCTCACGTTACTTTTATTTGTAAGGGCACGTCCGCACACGCAGCAACTCGCCTAAAGCTAGGCTTTTAGGGGAAAAGGTTTATGCAGAGATGACAGATTTTGGTGTTTTAAAACTGAAGTGTCCAAGTTATTGTTCCTCCTTTTATAGATATTGTAGCTGAGCGTTTCTTTTTGGAATGCAGGATACAATTTGACGGTAATAACCTCACAAAATTACTTAAAAGTAACAACCACGTGCTTTTGTCTAAGCTGAATTTCAGGTGAAGAGGGCGACGTTTGTAATTATTTCAAAGTGAGCAACCTAATGACTAAATAGCCACGGCTGAGTTACATTTTGAAGTATTTTGCCGTGTTTGTCGGGTGAAATTTATTTTTAACAAGCGCACTTGACTGAGGTGCACAATGTGTGTGACGTTCTTTGATCCCGTCTCCGGGTAATAGAGCTGTGGAAGGGAATGTGTAACGCGTTTTTCTTTCCTCTTCGGACATCTTTTAGCTCTTTGGATTATTGCGTCCGTTCAGTTTGTTTGGCGAGCGACTTTGTCGTCAACGCGCCCGGCCGATCTGTGAGGCAGATAGCGCAAGACCTTGCACGCTGCACACGGTTTACAAATAATTCTGATAAGAACTTACTAGACAGCAAATACCTGTTGACGACAGACATTTTTTTTATGTATGAACAGAATTCAGAATCGTTTCTAAGCGATTTGTTGCGTTGCGAAAGGTTCTTGAAAACCAGCTGCAGGGCGTTTGTTTTGAATTTCCAGGCATCAAAGAAGCCGATTCACCTGGCCAGAGGGGAAAGAGACTCTTCACACTTAGCCTTGCTTGTTTTCTAAGCACGTAAAAACACGATTTCTAGTAAGCCAAAGTTTGTTTTTGTCTGCTTTAGTCTTATAGGTAAAATAGATCTATAGATTGTCTCAAAGTTGAAACTTTTCACAAAAATATTCAACGGTATTCTGGCAAAAGTACGATGGTTTCAAAACTGAATCATAATTTTCACATTTCTTTTCTCGCATAGGGCTATTGAAATGTAATTTGTTGTTGCCAGTGTTTACCTTAGATTGCAGTGATAAATTTTCAGAAGTTTTTTTTCCTACGATTTTACAAGACATAACATATAATGTGTATAATGCACACTATATCTTTGTGTATATCAAAATCTCCATCACTCAGTCCTGCTGCCATAAATGAGCACTGATGAAGTGCTATGTTCCTGGAATGCTTTATGTATGATTATTCTGCAGCTGGCTTTTGACAGTTGGTCTTGACTTTTTCCAGGGGAATAAGTCCCCCCCCCCAACTGCCCAGTTGCTCCGTCTTGGCTTTGTGTGAATAGGCCATCCAGGAATTAACAGTAATTTGGCTGCCTCTGTTATCCAAAGTGATTTACATTTGGACCCATTTATACAGTAGGGTATTTTACTGGGGCAATCTGAGTGAAGCACCTTCCTCAGGGGCATAGCAGCAGCAGCAGTGTTCCAACTGGGATTTGAACCCACAACCTGCTACTCCACACTGCTGCTTGTAGCAAGACTTTTCTGTTACTGCAGGTGAGAGTGGTGGTTTGGTTTTGCAGTGTACTTGTGTTTTGTGTATACCTAGGCCTGTTGCAACCTATTGCACGTTTTAACACCTGGTACTTGGCCTTGTGCCTGTAAAACCACAATCCTGAAGCCTTCCTTGGTATCATCCTTGAGGGCCGCAAGATCTTGATTTTAGTCCTGTGGAATCCTCACTCAGGTGATTCAAGAAATGAGTCACTTACCTGGCCCAAATTGTTTTCCTAGGTCTAAAAAATTTTGAAGCCATTAGAAAGCAAGCCAGGGCTGGAGAGCCTTTAGATTTAAGTTTAGATCATTAGCTTTGCTAACAGTTTGACCTGGTGAACTTACTGGGAAGGTTTTTTTTTTCCCCAAGTGTAGCCAGGAGAATATCTGGAGAGGAGAGCAAGTGTTGTTGTGCCATGACAGTTTTGGTGGCACAATACAAGCTGGACCCTGTGCAGTGATGATGTTGGTCCCCACAGGATCGGCTGTTTATGTGCTTGTTTGATAAATCAGAAAAGTTGCTGGAAAAAATGTGAAAGCTGTAGGTAGTTGATAAAAAAAAATGCAAACACCTATGTAAAAGTCTTTTCAATAGGTATTGGGTGGGAAGGGTAGGTAGGTCAGTCCCTTTTCAGGCCATAAAGGCTCATGTAGGATTGGGAGGACAAGGGCCACCATTTTCCTTGGCCGTCCGACGCGGCAGGGTGAGGTGATATGGTCAGCATCACGCTCCGGCCGGCCTATTACCCCCGGAGGGATTAACCCCTGGTACTCATTTGGAAAGCAGGCTGAGTGAACCTGGGAGTAGTTAGGAAGGAATTGGAGCAA